TAGCTTTTCAGTCCACAATTCATTTACTCCGTGCATAGCGAAATCCATCATATGATCCACTTCTATCATATTCAGTATCCGCTCAAGTTATATCTTAAGTCAAAGATACTAAACCTAATCCAAAAAAGTGTCCCTATTCACTTGGTGTGCCTCAGTTTCTTGACGAACAGCTTGTTTGTTATGACTTAAATCTACAAAAGCACTAAAGCTGTGTGAGGCGAGCGGAGAAGAGAAACGACAGGTTCACGAGCTCATTTGAGCGTGTGCGTTTGAATGTGTATAATTGTCCCGTTTATATTCCCGAGGCTTTGTTTGCGTAAGAAACTTCGATCCCAGAACTCACACACCATCCAGGGTAAGGTCGAGTTATGCGTGTGTTGGTCTGTACCTCTCAGATAAGGGGAAAAGGACTGAGTCAACCGGTGCGGTTTACTCCTCTGGGAGATAATGATGATGGGTTTATGAAAACATAATGCTCGTGTCTGGTTCCCGGTAGATCATTTGGCTTTTGTTTTCCTCTCTCTCTCTCTCTCCACGTTACTCACCCTCCTCGTTTTGCCTGCGTTGTTTTTCTAAGACGGTGTGTGACTGGTGAACCACGTTGACGGCATCTTTATGAGTTGATGGTTATCAGATTGTTAATGAATATATCCTAGCATTTGTTCCGAATTGCTTTTCACGATAACGTCATCCGGCCGGTCATTTTTTTCACTTATGTTTTCCCGATGTGAATGGACCTGAGCGAATAAACTTATTTGTTTTGCATCGTCCACTTCAGGTTAGTTGAGTGACTGGTTCAAATTGTGTCTATGGAGCAGAATTCGATGACGACGAATTACTATTGGGTATCGAGGATGAACTGGAGTAAGGTTTGAAAAATAACCTTTGTTTGAAAGAGTATACTCGTCTTGAGCAGCAGATACAAGGGATCCCTTTCACTGTACAGATTGACTTTGTATGGATCGACTAACCTTTCCGATAATTGGTCCGACAATAGTTCAGGGGAATTATGTCCGAACAACAATAATTAGTTGTGTGGAAACAACCAACTATTAGTTGATCCTCTTTTCCTTATTTTCCGTTGCTCATAGGACACAGAGGAGCACCACTTCTTACTACCTATTGGCTAAATTGTGCGAAGGTAATAGGGACGGTCAGTTGGTGATTAACAAACCGTGAGCAATCAAACTGTAAGAAATCTGAGTGGAAGCAGATGCACAGATCGTCCTAATGGTTCCGAGAAAATCTACAGTTCTGGTTAATCTAAAGGTGTATACTGTAATTCAGTTACTTAACTTTATTGCATTTGGTTCCTTTGATAGGAGAAAATGAGTGTACAAGAAATAGGGCCATGGAGTTTCATGTGAGTTTGGTACAACAGACGTCCTCAGCCGTACTCGGTTTGAGGGTTAACCTCTAGTCTTTGCACAACCAAATGCGGTTTGCAAGGCATCATCGTGTCATCGCATGTGTCAGTGACTGGCGCAGGAACTCAGCCACCATTCTGTAGATGTAGCTGTAACCAGATGTCCTTGCACACCTGTTTTTTCGAAAGGTTTCCTTCATGGCCATTGGATCAAGTAGTAGATCTCGTCTGTTCGTTCGGGTGTGGTTGTCTTCGCGTGCCTTATTCGGTCTCGCCAAGGTTTAATATCTCGGGTTACCCTCAACCTAGTTTAGCCCGCTGGTTGAGCAGTTGGCCGTTAATGCATGCCTGGACTTTGTGGAAGGTGAGAGATGGATACTTGATGCACACCAAAGAGGAAGAGGATGTCGCCAAGGGGACATGATAGGCTATCCAATCAGAGGTCCATCAGATAACATATATTCTACAATCTGTCAGTAGGGAGAAATTCTTGAAAATCGAACAACCGGTAAATTACTGACTGGTACTACTAATAAAAGGACTGTTTATATATGTATTTACCGATTTGATGTATCAAAAGCATGATGTGCCTAATCTGTTGCATAACGTCACTTTTTCGTCATTCAACTTCAATATAGAACCTCTCCAGCAACTTTATAACTCGAACAACAATTGATGATGCAGTAGCTGTAAGTTCTATATACCAATTTCGCTCAGATAAAAATAGTTCTAATGAGACTTGCCGATAATCTCCTTTCCATTGTGTAAGTAAATCTTGATCCTTTTTAAAGTAAAACCTGACCCCACCTGCTGAAAAGTGTTTATGAGAGTCTGTACAAACTGGTATTTTGTGACTTATTCAGTCTATAGTTCGACTATTACCTCATTAACCTTATTCATGACGTTTAGGTCCAAATTAGTGGTTTTTACGAATGTAAGAAATTCACCATTTCTCAGAATTCCACTAGCTGCATATATTTGCATACAAAGTTCTAATCTCTGTGTATCAGCGAGAAAATGATGATGAATCTTTTGAATTTCCTTTACGATGCTCTGGTATTTTCCACCGTTTTCAAACATTTTGAGGTTTAAATATTTTTAAAAACAGATTTGTACGTACCATAGTGATCTTTTTTGAAACCTGCTTACGCCAGATTTCTCCCAGTAATTTGGCATGCACTTAAATTTTCGAAAAACTTTATCTTTCTGTGCCATGTGTGTATTTTGGCCCCGGTACCAAAGTTACAACGATGGTTGCCAGGACTGTAATTTGATAGCATGATATGCCACTCTAATTCCAAAATTATACGATCAATGAATTTCTGTCGAGTTTTGTCAAGATGAGAGAAAAGGGCCCGAACACACACAATGATCCACCCATTCACTCCGTAGTTAATTAAGGCCTGTTAACAGTAGTTTTCGTTACCGACATACTTTTCATTTGTTCAGTTGTTCGTTGTTTCCCGCTTATTATATGTACAATTGTATCTGAATCAGATTAATACATTCATACGAAACTGAACTCCTATTTATGCGATATCTATTCCAGATTTAGCGAAACAAATGACGTTTTCGTTATTCGAAAGATGTGCTCATCATTCGATTCACTTTATTTTACAATGAGACCAGCTGATAACCAAACTAGTTGAGCAATACGCACCTCCAGTGTGTGTGTGTGTGTGTGTGTGTGTGTGTGTGTGTGTGTGTGTGTGGATCAGATAAAGTTGGACTGCTAGCGTTGATAAAATCTCTAACTTGTTGAATAAACGAATAAATACCAAAAAGTTTGCATCTCGCTCTCTTTGTCTCTGTCATGAGCAAACTGCATGCAGTGAGGAAATGCACGAGCTGATGTAGACAACTAGAAGTGCAAATACGATCAGTCAAGCGCTCACCTGATTGATTGTATGCAGCTGTGCAGCAAATTTGGTATTCTGGACGGCCAAATGCGTACGTTCTTCAGATAACTGACGAAGTTGTTCCTCCTGAGCGGGAATGACAGAGAGAGAGCAGAGCAGAGCAGAGCAAATAACGGTATGTTAACATCGCATAGTCCGTGTGTGCGTATGATAGTGCTGATGCACCCGTGGTGCAGTTTACTAAATCATTATCATCGCAAAAGTTTACAATTTTACTATTTTGGGCGAGTGTAAGGATAAAATAAACGAGACCGGTGTTACTTGTTCAGTCACATGACGGGTATAATCAGTAGAACGAAAAATTGGAGAACACAAACGAATAAATAGATTGTTTGTAATGAACAAATTCGCTACCCGCACAGCCCAACATTAGTAAGTTTTGAGGTAAGCAGATAAATAACAGTCCAGGAGCCGTTGCTTCCTAAGCAAAATCGACCATGCCGACCATCAACGTGAGGCTTGTGTAACACTCAGCACATAAAGCAAGGGGACTTATTGTATCTATCCTTTATGTGGTTTTTTTCACTTACTGAGAAAGTGTCCTGAGCTAAATGATCCGAGGGCCAAACCAAACAATTCTGAATACAGACAAATGCTTACTTGCTTAATTTTAGCCAGCCCTCCATGGTGCATTGCATAGAAGCTTAAAGCAGCAAAATATGCTATGGGTGCCGAATGACCACTGAATGTCTTCCTGTCAGCCTCAAAAGACTCATGCGCCAACCGATGTCACCGCATTCCGGAGAACCCAGACTGCTCCAGGTGACCCTGAAAGATGAAAAGGACTTGGAGGACGTTCTTCTTTCTAGTCACCTTCTCAGAAGGAGTTCCTGCCCTGATAGGCCATGAACGGAACGAATGCAGCATCGGTCCGATCCAATGAGAGCACGAGTGGAGGAAAAACAAGAGGGTCGTCCTCATCCATGGTGTCCCGCAGTTGGACAATCCGGATGAACCAAAAGGTTATCGGAACGACCGAAGAGAATGGCGATTCATTCAAAATCTACTTGAGTGTAGCGACGTTTAGACAACATCAATCAGTCGTCTTACCTGTTCACTACATTACCGTGGCAACGGTCCGAGGAACTCCAGAAATGGCGAACACAGTCTTACAGTTATGGTGGGAAAGAAAAAATAGAAGGCCTCCGAAACTACTTGTGAGACCCTTACTCAATCCAGGACTCAAGGCACGCCCAAATCTGGAGGACCCTTCTGATGCACCAGAGCACTCCATGCGGGCACCGAACTCCGTCACGCAACCCGTGGTCCAAAGTAACAGAGCTCCTCTGCCAAAAAACTAATGGTAGCCGACCGCGAAGGGGTCGGCCGAGATACCACTTCATACCCAAGCGGATTTCTACACCGACAGTATCTAAACTGTTTCTAATCCAATGCTCAAGGACTCCTCGGCAACTTTCCAGAGTTAAATTTATGTTTTATGTCTGGTCAGTGGGATATTATTGCTGTTACAGAGACTTGGCTCACAGCTGATATTTCGGACTCCGAATTGTCTCTATCAGAGATGTCTCTACTTAGAAGCGATCGTCCTACCCGTGGTGGTGGTGTTTTACTCTACTACCGAAATAATCTTGATTGAGAGCAAATCTACCCTCCCGTTTTGACCCCGGACACTCTGTAGTGTAGGTTGAAATTGTCCAAACATGATGATTGTTTGTTTGGTGTGATCCATCGTCCCCCATCCTCCCTGGAGACGGCCAGTGAAACGCTTTTACTAACTGTGTCACACATTCTTACACAAAAATTTACCCATGTTCTCGTAATGGAAGATTTCAACTGCCCCTATCTCAACAGATCAGCGACCGTCCGCCCGTTTTTCGAACATCAATTCAAACGGCTGATTGACTCGCATCCACTATACAACCATGTGAAGGTGGCCACCAGGTTTGGAAACCTACAGTCGCCGTCCATACTAGATTTAGTGTTGACCAACGAGGAGTTGATGGTAGAGTCTGTCAACGTGACTTCCCCTCTAGGACGCAGCGATCACGTAGTACTTACATTCAAATATGTTTGTTACGCCTCGATTCAAGGAAGTTCCCCAGATAACACACGCAGATCCATAGACGACACACTGTTGAGTAACTTGGCGCTCTCTACTCAGTGGGTTTCGTATGACGAAGAATACGATCCGTTGATCGCCTGGAAGAAATTTATTGACAGTCTTATAAACCCAATGATATCAGTGACTAAGACTAGAGTAATCACCAAATTCGGCATCCGAAATTCGCCCATTCGAAGCCGCACAAGGAAACGGTTATCGACGAGGGACTTATCCTGGCGAGATTATAATCGTCTGCCGAATGTGGTCATGTGGGATAATTATCGTATGCTGAGGAACCACTGCACCAAGCTGATTCGTGAGGATAAACTGTAATACCAAGAGACACTAGCACAGAGATTCAGTTCTAACCCTAAGCTGCTGTAGAAACACGTCAAATCCATTAGGAAATTAAATTTTGGTATACCGGTACTAAGTAGCGCTGTAAGAGTTGTAGCCACTCCAAAGGAAGCAGCTGAAATGTTGAATGTTTTTGCAGCACCGCAGGTTTAAGGTTTTAAACTACCTCCCCGGTTGCATCATCTTCCACATCCTTCACTGACCTACGTACCATTTACTGCTGAAAACGTCAAAGCGAAACTAATGGCTTTGTGAAAAAGTGCAACCCCAGGTGCGGACAACATACACCCGAAATCTCTGATCTTTTTGGCGAATCACATGGCCGAACCGCTAGCCATTCTGTTTCAACGAATGTTCGACCAAGCGGCACTCCCAGAATCGTGGAAACAAGGAGTCATTTCGTCCATATACAAAGGTGGTTTTCGTAGTGACTCCGCCAACTACCGACCTGTAACCCTGCTTCCGGTGTTATCGAAAGTCATGGAGTCAATTGTGGCAGATTCCTTGATAGAATACCTCGAAAGATACAACATTTTTTCGACAGCTCAACACGGGTTTAGGAAAAAGCGATCCTGCTCCACCAACCTGCTTCTTGTTTGAGATGAATGGACCAGAACAGTCGACGGAGGGGATGCGATGGATGCGATTTATCTCGATTTCGCGAAAGCATTTGATCGGGTGAACCACAAAAGTTTGCTACAACAGCTCTACAATTACGAAGTTCGAGATTTCGTGTTTGATTGGATTAGAGCATTCTTCGAACAACGGACNGTTCGGGTTTCTGATTCCATATCCGGATCTATCAAAGCCACCCGCGGTGTTCCACAAGGGTTCGTACTCGGTCCCCGTCTGTTCTTCGCATTAATAAATGATCTATCGAAAGTTTTAGGCCCAAAAAACAATACTGTTTTCAGACGACACCAAAATCTGGAACACAGTAGCAGAACCAGAGAGCTCTCCAACACTTCGGGAATCACTTAATGCAGCTTATCAATGGTCTAAGGAGAACGACATTGAATTTCATGTTTCTAAATGCAAAATCCTATCCCTACGCCACAAGAGNCCACAAGAGAAAATTCTCGTATTTCCTCGGGGATCAGCAGCTACCACATACTTTTAGTGAAAAGGACTTAGGTATTGTTGTTCAAAAGGATTTGAGCTGCTCCATCAATTGTGCTAAGGCATCGTCTGCTGCAATGAAGAAAGTCCGCTTACTTCGGCGAGTCTGTGGCCGGTTGGAATCAGCACTATTTCCACGTTTGCTATCAGTGTACATTCGACCCTACACAGAGTACGCCATCCAAGCTTGATGTCCATGGCTTCAACGTGATCACAAGATGCTTCAGCGTCCACAAAGGATGGCCACCAAGATGGTCAAGGGATTTCATTACCTGACATATGAGGAGAGATTATGGTCATTGAGACTATATTCTGCTCAGTACCGCCGAACTCGGGGAGACTTGATTTTGACGTATACTGCAGAACCCAAACCATCCGTGTCGGTCGCTGCTTATGTTATCGAAAAATGTACATCTAAGACGACACCGTTTCAAGCTACTGTTTCCAAAGTGTCGACTGGAATGCCGGCGCCAGTCTTTTGCAGTCAAAGTATGCCGTTCTCACATCGTTTGTGCACCCACTACTGGATCTTTCAAGCAGAGACTCGATGAAACCTTGGCACATCTCACATTACTACATCACTAAAAGCAAACGTAAATTTACTGAAGCCTACATTCTCCATTATCTCCTACCCGGAACTCTATATGACATCTTTTTCGGCGTGTAACGATTCATCTGTGTAAATATCCTATGGGGACAAGAGAAGCACCAGCTTGTAGTTATTCCCATAATAAAACTTTGAATTTGACTCCGGAGGATGAATTTGTCGATATCCTTCTGTTTCTTCATATAAATTGTACGACTAGAAACGTGGGCTACATTCGGGGATAGTATGAATTTACTTTTTATAAGAGAGCGGTTCACGTGCTATTTATTTCTGTACAAAAAACAAGGAATAATTCATCCAAATGCGTATAGATGTGAAATAACACTTAGACGTGGTTGAGATTTACCGTACTCAATACACCCAATACACCCAGACCGGATCGCTATTGTTCTACTGTTAACTGTTGAGCGGAATTCTCTGTTTTCACAGCGTTACCCCAATCTGCAAATCGACATTCTATTCCTCCTTGATCGATTAAATTCCAGTTGTATTCACTGGTGCATTCGTAATGGGTTTAAAAGCAAACATTCCTCTACCACAAACAACGGGGAGAGCGCAGATTGAGCTGTATGCTCCGGTCACGTGACGATGAATTCTTCTTTTCCGATAAACGACAGACAAATGGGAATTCAGTGCAAAAATAAACCAAGGTTTTCTGTCATTGCAATTCCTGATGCTGACTAGATGACCTAAGTTGACCCAAAGATAGAATTTATTGTATATTCCTCCCCATTCTTCATTGTTCCCATATATAAGGTTAACGAGTAGAACTAAACAAACTCTTTTACTCCTGATCTTTTTACTCGTACTAATATGCGTGCATTTTTTTCGAGCATAGTGACAACAGTGAGCTTGCGGAATGAGAAGATTCGATGATTTAAATGTATTTTTACTGCAATTTAAAGAACTTCAGTTGGATGA